GCAGCGGCTGCTGCTGCTGCTGCTCAGTTAGGTATGAATGTATATATTTAAATTTAAATATTAATATTTATATTTATTTATATTTATATTTATTTATTTATATTTATTTATTTATTTATTTATATATTTATATTTATATTTATTATTATTTATATTCCCTTATATAATATATATATGTAATAAGAAAGGGGGGAGGGGGTTATCTTTTTCTTCTTTTTTTCTTCTTTTTTCTTCTTTTTTTTCTTTTTTTTTCTTTCTTTCTTCTTTTAGACCCAAAGAAAGGTCAATAAATAACAAAAAATAAATAAATAAAACTTTTGTTGTTGCCTTAGTACCCTTATAGCCTGCAGCAGCAGCAGCACGAGCAGCAGCAGCAACAGCAGCAACAGCAGCAGCAGCAGCAGCAGCACGAGCAGCAGCAGCAGCAATGAATAGTGTCTTTATATAATATAGATAAATAAATTAATAGTTCAGGTGTATAGGCACCTCAATATAAACAAAATGAATTATTATATGCAGTATATACTACTAAACCCTAAACCCTAAACCCTAAACCCTAAACCCTAGAAGATGGAGGGGGGTAAGGGTGATGATAGATCTGCAGCAACTGCAGCAAATGCAGCACAATTAGTACCACCAGGAGCAGCACAACACAACGAACACCACCAACAACCAGCAGCAGCAATAACAGCAACAGCAGCAGCAGCAGCAGCAGCAGCAGCAGCAGCAGATATAGAGGACCACCCTCTATTTATGACGAAGGTACCAACAGCAGCAGAATTCAAAAAAAATTCTTTGCTGTCTGCATTAGCTGCTCTTATTGATGAGGATGAGCAGCAGCAGCAGCAGCAGCAGCAGCAGCAGCAGCAGCAAATGGATAAAGGGCCCCATAGGAGGCAAAGACACAAGACACGATCCTGTCCTTGGGGTACAAGAGGTATAAGACCACAAACTGCTGCTCGGCCTGCTGCTGCTGCACCTGCTGCTGCTGCTGCTGCAGCAGAACCCAAAGGGGATGCAGCAGCAGCAGCAGCAGCAGCAGCAGACACGAGTGCTGCCGGGTGTCTGCAGCAGCAGCAAGACGATGAAATGGATTGTGAAGATGCAGCAGCAGAAGATGAAGACGAAGCAGCAGAAGCAGCAGCAGCAGCAGCAGCAGCAGATGCAGCAGCAGCAGCAGCAACAGCAGCAGCAGCAGCACCTAGTGGGCCCTCTATGGGGGAATTGCAGATATGCATGCGTTTGTTTTCTATGAAGTAAGCAGCAGATAAGTAGATACTGCTGCAGCAGCAGCAGCTGCTGCAGCAGCAGCTGCAGAAGCAGCACCAGCTGCATGCATTTTGCTGCTGATGCTGCTGCTGCTGCTGCTGCAGCTAGCTAGCTAGCTAGCTAGCTAGTGGGTATAGTTGTCTTGTTGTATTTTTAGACTTTTTTCTCCCTTATCTATCTATTAATATAATTATATATACCTAAATAAATAAATAAATAAATAAATAAATAAATAAATAAATGTAGCTAGTTATTATTTAGGTAAGTTATTAAGGAAAAAAAGACAAGAAGGAAAATGTCTATACTAAATCTGTATATA